AAACTGGAACATGCACAACTTGGAGATGGCGTCCTACCGGCTTTCCAGTCTTACATTCTGATGTAAATGGAAGGCATCATGAATCTGTATACATCTAGGAACTCGGCGGTCACACTTGGAGTTATTAAAATTTCCAGACCAGACTACAAATCATTACAACCTGGTCTACAGTAGTCTGTAACACATTTTACTCAGGAATGATAATTGAACCACAGTACCTCCTAGTGGTGTGCGGTTGTCAGAAGGACACAAAATGATAGCCATTTTTTATTTTTATTTTTTTACTTCAAATATTCTGTAATTGTTGAATTAATGTGCAGAAACAGGAAACAATTTCTTGCAATTATTTTTTTAATCACACAATCTTACTTTTTCATTTCAGCTTTCAAAGGCAAAAACATATCTTCTGGTTTAATCTTGTCTATTAATGTAAAAAAAGCACTATGGTTTGTTGTTTTAGATGTTATATTAAACCACTTATATCAAGCAAAAAGCTTTCATTTCCTTGTAGCAATTTCCAGCAGAATAGTTTTTTTATTATTATTTATTTAACTATAGCTAGAAAGTAGATGTCTAATGTTACTTATTGTAAATTTATCAATAAAAATGTGTAAAGTTACTCTGAATACCTATACCTTATACCTATACCTATACTCAGCACTTTGGTTGGCCTTGTTGCTGTTTTAAGTGCTATATAAATAAATTGGTATGGTATGGTATGGTATACCTAAGCTAGTGTCAGATTTGATGTTATGAGTTGAATGGGTTGAACTATGACATGTGGATTTTTTTATTTTTTTGTACATCAGTAAACATCTCAACTTCACAGCTCCCAAGTTTTCACTTTTATCTTTCTAACAATCATAACTCACTTTCAAATACTCATCACAGCTGATTTCTTGCACCACTTTCAAACCCTGGCATGATAACATGTCCATATCCCCCAAACCCTGATGGACAAACTACTCACACTAGGACTAAGCCCATGCATTTGCAACTGGGTCCTAGACTTCTTAACAAACAAACCGCAGTCAGTGAAGATCCACAACTTCTCATGCTACACTATATTGGGGGCCGAGATGGTGTAGAGGCAGGGCAGCCGGCTTGGGACCCGAAAGTCCCAGGTTCGTTCGATCCCCAGTCACTGCACATCACGTGGCATCTCTGGGCAGCATGCCTCATCCCCAAAATGTCCCCCGGGCGCTTTCAATAGCTGCCCACTGCACCACCTGGTGGTGGATGGGTTAAATGCAGAGACTAATTTCGCCATTGTATGGAAACATACAGTGCTGACATTGTGATGACATTATTATTATTATTATTATAACCCTCAGCACTGGCTCCCCTCAGGCATGTGTGCCGAGCCCTCTCGTGCTCACTTGGCTCACAGCTACCCATCCAGGCTGTCATAATGTAAAGTTTGCAGATGATACAGCGGTGGTGGGATGCATCACAAACAATGATGAGTCCAGCTACAGGCAGGAGGTGGAAGACCTGCAGAGGTGGTCCAAAGAGAATAACCTTCACATCAATGTGAAGAAGAAAAAGGAGATGATTGTGGACTTCAGAAGGAACAAACACACCTACATGCACTTGAACATAAGAGGATCTGCAGTGGAAGTGGTCTCCAGCTACATGTACTTGGGTGTACACATGAATGACAACCTCAGCTGGAGCAACAACACCACCAGCCTGATCAAGAAAGCTCATCAGAGACTCTACTTCCTCAGGCGGCTGAGACGAGCTGGTCTGTGAAGCTCAGTCCTCACCTCCTTCTACAGGTGTGCAGTCGAGAGCATCCTGTGCTCCAGCATCAACGTGTGGCATGGAGGCTGCACAGCTGCAGAAAGAAAAGCTTTGCAGAGAGTGGTGAAGGCTGCACAGAAATCTGTTGGAATCAGTCTCCCCACCATCACAGACATTTATCCCTCCAGATGCAGGAAGAGGGCCACCTGCATCATGAAGGACCCCACTCACCCAGCACACACACTTTTTGCCACGCTCCCGTCAGGAAGGAGGTTGAGGAGCATTAAGTGTAGAACCACTAGACTGAGGAACAGCTTCTACCCTGAGGCTGTTAGACTCATGAATCTCTAATCAGGATAACTGTGAAAAATCACATGATGCTGATCTGTTTCATGTTGATGTGTTCATGCGTGTTCATCTGTTCACACAGACTCATGTTTGTGCTGCTGTTCGACGTAATGTTTTTATGCTATTAGTGCTTAGTGTATATTTAGTTGATGTTTTTCTTAGTTCATATCTTAGATGTTACTGTTTTTTTCAATTTTTTGTTGGTTGTAACTGGGACGCCGTGTACATAACTCATTCCACTACATGTGGTACATATGGTGTTTATGACAAATAAATCTGTCTCTGACTCAAAGTTATTTTCTCTGATAAAAGTAAATTTTGCATTTCATTTGGAAATCAAGGACAGAGTCTGGAGGAAGGGAGGAGAGACACAGAATCCACATTACTTTAGGTCCAGTGCCAAGTTTCCACAGTCAGTGATGGTTTGGGGGGCCATGTCATCTGCTGGTGTTGGTCCACTGGGTTTTCTGAGGTCCAAGGTCAACGCAGCCGTCTGCCATGAAGTTTTAGAGCACTTCATGTTTCCTGCTGCTGACCAACTTTACAGAGATGCAGATTTCATTTTCCAACAGGACGTGGCACCTGCACACAGTGCCAAAGCTTCCAGTACCTGGTTTAAGGACCATGGTATCCCTGTACTTAATTTGCCAGCAAACTCACCTGAACTTAACCCCATAGAAAATCTATGGGGTATTGTGAAGAGGAAGATGAGATTCAAAAGAGCTCAAGGCCACTGTCAATGCAACCTGGGCTCTCATCACACCTGAGCAGTGCCACAGACTGATCAACTCCATGCCATACCCCAGTAATCCAGGCAGAAGGAGCCC